CCAGATACCCTAAGTCCACAACCAAACAAGGAACAGGAAATAAAGTGAGTTATCAATACTAAGTCCTTTCAACCTTACTTATATAACTATATCTATATAGACATGATTTTGACAATATATAAGTTTAAAAGAGTTTAATAAAAAGTTTAACATATAAAAGAGTTTTAACCATTTGAATGGTAACAAATGACTTGATATCAGTTTATAAAATGTTTTGAAGAGTTTGTTTAATAAAATAGTTTAAAGTATAAGAAAATCCATTTGTTTGATAGTTATTAATCACATGTGATTGATATAATAACTATAATGTTTCTACTTGTATCCACCCCCCATAAAAGCATTTAAAATCATTTAAAATATAAGTTAAGGGGTATGAACTCACTTGTAGTGAGTGATACGAATGAAAGATCAGTTGTAGGATGCTAAGTGCTAAGTGAAATCTCAGGCACAAGTGGATCCTAATAAGCATATAATGACACATATATGTATATAATTAGTGTATATAACAACTAATCATGATAGGTAACCACCCTAGGGACTAGGAAACACTTGAATGAAAGTGTTACAATCACATGTGATTGCACAAAAAAGGGCTTACGGCCACACATGGTGTTCATGGGCAAGATGTTTATGGCCCAATGTGTTTACGGCCATGGGGTTTACGGCCCTATGAGTTTATGACCGTACACTCATGAATACATATGCCAAAGAGTGTTTTATGGTCCTATTCAACATCAAGGAAGTGTGTCTTGACCCATTCCTAGCCTTAAGAAGAGTTTAAGGCCAAACTAGGAACCTTAACAAGGGTTTACGGCCAAGGGAGATGCTCATGGCCGTAAACTCTCATTGTTCTTGGGAAAATGGTTGTTTTCAAGGGTGTATGTTAATTTCTTCTATATTATAACTAGTATATGGAAGATTACTTACGTTTTGAAGCATGAAGGGGGTGTTTAAGGTCCAAGAACTAGTGTGTGTAGCTTCTAACAACTAGACCAAGGACTTGTTTTTCTTTTCGTTTTGAAAAGTTTTGACCAATCGTCAATTCTAATAAAATCAAAATTATATTCGGTTTTAATAGGTAAAAAAGAACACCAAATCAAAAAATATTTTTTAACAAAATAATTTAATGTGTCAATACGTGCCTTATCAAGTCATGGCACAGGTTTTTTCAAGGAGCATTTTTATGTTGATTTTTTATTGTTTTTTTTCACCCGAAATTAAACAGTTGAGTTTTTTCATGGGATATTTTTTGTTTTGTTTCTTTAACTTACCGTAGCCTTACGTTTAACGTCAGTTATAATAAGTATCGAGTTCGGGTTGGCAGGTTGGAAACGTCAACCGAGACACAACTCGTCTAACCCGTTTAATTATAGAGGTTCGTAGGTTATATTCGGGTTTGCGGATTGATGAGTTGGTGGGTTAAGACATTATTTATATATTTTAATCTCTTTATTTATTTTTATAATATTTTTTTTATTTCATTGTTCTACGCTTAAAATTATAAAATATTATAATATGTAATAAAATAAACAACCAATAAATAAGTCATAAATATTATTTATAGTTACAATTATAATAAACTTAAGGGGTGGAATTGTAAATAAATAATACACTAAAGGGGAGATTATAAATATATAATAAAATACCTTCTTATTATCGAAATGAATTTAAAAATAATATCTAATGGTGAATCAGTCATATCAAATAGGGTAATCATATAATTTTTGGGTGTGAATAAAATCCCCCGTTTATTGTGTATCTTGCGGATCTTGTTCATATCTTAAACAATTCATGTTGTTAACTTTATTATTTAGAGTTAATTGCAAGAAATAATGACATATTATTGTTGATTTTTTTTTATCATAGCATCCTACTTTCATTTCTTCTATTATAGAAATTTACTTTGAAAATCTATCAATTATAGCAATTTCATCCCAATACACAACAATTTTTCGTGCTCTTACTGGATAGATTTTTGGAGGTATTGTTTCCTAATAACAAAAAAAAAATGAAAGTACAATGACATTATTGGGTAGATTTTTCAATGTATAATGCCTTAATAAGGAAAAAAAATGGAAGTGCAATTTTTCACAAGTAAGAAATTAAAGTAGGATGCTAAATACACAAATAATGAAGTACATTGCTATTTTTTGGAAGTGGGTGTCTTGGTGTAGAAAGGGCTTGAGAGGGCAAAAGGCTCCCAAATTTAAGGGGATTTACATACGTCATGAAGTAGACCAATTTTATAAAACCTCTTTTGGGATAACTTTAATTGCTATAACTCATGCCTTATGGGCCATGGTGAAAATCCGTCCTCAGGTGGTAGTTTCCCTTCACTTCTGCAAGTATTTCATTTTTACTAAATTACAAAAAGTGTCCATGCGCTTTATCTTTTTATAGATTTTCTCCAATAGTTTTGAACATAGCTTTTTTCCATCCCTAAAATAGTGTTTGGTCACTGTTTTAATCCTTGAGTCACCTAACTAGACGGCCCAACTGTAAATAATTCTATAACTAATTATATGCTGATAAAATGACAAAATAGACCATATGGTTTATGTTTTTATGGATATGGTCCAATACTCACACTTTTCGTCCCTGGTGACCCTACCATTAAATCCATAAGAAAGTATGAAACTATCAGACCATTCCATAAAAAGTAATAAACGTAGGACGGATTTTGTAATTCAGTCTTCTTTAGTTCTTTGTTTTAGTAACTTTGAAGGACAATATCACTTTTCTTTCACAGATTCTACACAATGGCCGTAGGACTTGTGTACCTATATTTGGGATTTCATTCACTTCTAATGTTGAATGCCTAAGAATACCATCTTTGACACACTCTAAAGAGCTAGATGCAAGAACTAGCAACGTCCTTTTGTTTATTTGTTTATTGGCAGATCCCACTTCTTGTCTCTTCCATTTACAACATTGTACTTTTAGATTTTTACATAATCACATCAATGTAATCTAAATACAACACAATTTTCACAACTATGATTGTTAAATTGTGTGCAACCCCACTTCCTTTGTCTCAAGTATGCATGAGTGGGTTAGTGGTATACATCTTGTGTTTTATGGGGGTCTATGTCTACCACATGTGTTGGCCTCTTTATTAGGATGTAGTGGAGTATGTCTACAATGTATTTGTCATGTTGTGTCTCTTTTCTATCTATATATGTATACAAGGTGTAAGGAATAGATAGAGTGTGGGACAAAATGTAGTTCACTGGGCTTGTTGTAGTCCTACCCCTGGGAATGGGTTTTTGTTAATACAATAGATATTTTATGTGTGTTTCCTATTGCATGCATTCGAGAACCTCCATAGAAGGTGCAGCCATCCCATATCCAAACACAAAACCATCTTATCTCAGAATCTCTTTCATGTGAAAGCTTGTTGTATACAAGCTGTGTGTGTGTTGTTGTGTACAGGTAAGTTATTTTCAACATATAAAAGTTATCAATGATTGCATAGATTTATATAGTATGATGTCCTGATAAGAAAAAATTGAAAGCTTAATGTTATAATTGGGTAGATTTTCCATTGTACAATGCCTTAATAAGAAAAAGGATGGATTTACAATGTTATAAGTAGGTTTTTTAAATATGATCCATTATAAAGAACAATTACATTCATTTTTTAGGTTTAACTATACAAGAATACCATCTTCGAGAATGTCTTAAGTGTTAGATGCAAGAACTAGCAACATACTTCTGTTGAGCAATGTTTGACACCAATTGAATTAAAAGACCATAAATGAAGCTAATGCTATAAAACTTACAATTTTGTCCCACTTAAAAGGGTGGGGCGTAAGAGAACACAACGACTTTGTATTATGTTTGGTGTGTATTTGATTGGTACCGAGGCTAATGTTTTTTTGTCCCACATTGGATTTGGATTTGGATGGGGATTGATGCATATGGGATAAGACTTATATTTAGTTTCCAACCAAAAAAGGGGGACAATAAAGGGTGCACTAAATTAGGATCATAACCCGATGCCAAATAGGATTTTTTTTTTTTTTTTTAACTATTCGTACTCGATGAAAACAAGATGATTTCTCTTGCATTTTTTTTTTCACCAAAAAGAATGGGACATGAAAGAAGATGACATCTTTTATTTTGTTTGGCATAACGCATTGATGTTTTTTCATATATCCAAGAACTTAGGGCTGGAGAAAAAAAAGGAACAACCTTGTATTATGTTTGCTTTGCATCAGACCAGGACCTGGAGGACCTGGACACAGACATATTCAAAGGGGTAAACATTGCAAGTTTTAGTTCCATCCAAAAGGATAAGACATGACAACAAACATATGCATTGGATTATGACTCAAATACATGATAATGGGACAAAAAGTTCACCTAAAATGTGGGAACATTGACAACTTTGTTGGTGCCTTGGGTTTAGGACCGGAAGCATAAGAACCATTTTTGATACTCAATCTTTGCAAAAAAGATGTAAATGTCCCTCTCATTTTCATTCCCCAGTAGATTTGTTGATTATTATGATGTGAAAGAAGGCGGAGACCAGTTATAGAATTGAATGTCATTTTTTCCCCTATTTCTGGATACATAAACTCATTTTCATTTTAAAAAGAAAAACCTCATCCACAACTTCACTTCCATTTCTTGTATGAGATTCATCTAAACATTAGAAGCACAACCCCAAATAGCCAACACAGTAGCAATCACCATTCATCTTATCCCAAAATATAAAAACCACTATAATCACCATAATCGGCATACCAAAAGTACTCAAAAATCAACTCAACTTCACCAATGTGCACAAGTTGCAAATCATAATAATCAGGTATGCCATCTTTCCCCTATTGAAAAAACTCACCACTTATCCCTGCAAATCGTTCCATTGACCACTAATGAAAAGTGTTACATTAGTAACAATCGACACCACTAACAAGTGATAGACTATCATATTCAACACCACAGTGAACATTTCCCCTTTTGACCCATGCTGAAATGATAAATGAGATTCCTATTCAGTTTGCACTTGAGGTTGTTCCTGTTGCAATCAATATACAAATTTCAGAAGTTGCATAAATACACAGAGATCATATGCTCCCACTCGGCTATAATAAAATTGCATTTTCAAGCATTCATTACAATGTTATAATTCCATTATTTTGTTACATCTTAGACGAAAAAAAAAGCTTTTATGGTAATACATTTGGTTGTGTATGGCTTTTATTCATGTAATGAGAGAAATGTTTTGGCATCAAAAAACAAACCTGAGATTATGTCAGGCTTCCTTGGGGATAAAGCTCTAAACCACGGTTTGTATCTTTCTGAAAACAGATAAAAGGTTATGTGATAATCATTATTCACACACATCCACTTTGGTCAGGTCATTTTATACATCAGACATGACAATAATTTTTTTTTTTAAGATAAACGACATCTACCTTTATAGTCGGGGCCATCTGCAATGAATTTACGATGATAGGGAAACAATTGAGTGACATTAATAAAAAATTGGAAGTTATTTAGGATGTATTCTCCGGTGGTTGTTGTTTCAAAAGGGGAGAGATCTCCACCAATTATGTGATTCCATGACTTGTAATAACCCAACACATCTTCTTATTCATCCATCTTCTCTCCATCATCATACACAAGACTCACCCCACACTCCTTTATAACTTCATTATACCTCTCTGTAACAGTAATAGTAACATGGTCACCAACCTCCATCTCATTCATCGTAAACATCCAATGACTTAACAACACCCAACACTTTCCACGTACACAAGATTTGTCCTGGAAACGTTCGTATATCCACATGCGGTTCTTTGTTATATTACTAATTGTGATCATTGGTGTAAGAGGGAAATGACCATATGGAACTTCATCCATATAGTCATCCAGAATTTGCAACATGTTCACAGAGCAGAAGTTAAGTCCTGTAAGATTGTTTGGAGACGATGGGATGGTAAATGATATTGATGGCCCCTCACTTCTATGCCTAAACCAACTCGGTATTTCTTTTTGTTCATACATTGTGCTGAATATTCCGTATTCATAAATCATCTGCAAATATAACCACCTTAATTAATCACCATAATAATTACATTATACATATTCACATAAAGATATAGTTAACTAGACGAAACCTGGATTTCAGATTCTGAAGAATTGGTTCCCACACGCCTCTCCTTAAGGAAGTCTATATTAGTCCAGCCCAAGCTACGTAATACCTTTTCCTCAACATCCACCATTGATTGGATTTTGATCATGCCTTCAAATTCATACGCCTCAGGTGCAGAACTTCTAGAAAAAGAGTGTAAGTGGAGAGGGGACATTTCTAGATTAAAAACTACTTTTTTTGTAAAAGCATCACGATCAGAATATAGTGCCAACTGGCTAAGTGTTTGTGGAGGATATTCCACGGACTTCAACTTATCACAGTTCGTCATACTAAGCAAATCAATCCTAGGAAGGGTTCTCACATAATGTGGCATGGAAGTGATAGGATTTTCGTCTAAATATAATTTCTCTAACATGGATAGACAACTAAAGTCCATGGGAAAGGATTCAGTAGACAAATTACTATTTGCAAGTGACAACCGTACTAGAGAGCTCCGTAAAGAACTTGCAAAGAACTTCAAATCCCTTGGTATAGCACCCACAAAGGCGATGGAAGAGGTTCTTGTGTTTATGCCAATGTTTTTGTTAGCCTTCCACATTTCCAGTGAGTCCATATCTCTAATCTTGATTTGAGACTCACCGAGACTACAACCATCTAGCCACATCATTTTAACCTTCTTTAACATGCCTATATTTCTTGGAAGTTTTTCAAGCTTGTTGCAGTAGCTCAGATCGATGAGGAAAAGATCAACACATTTTTCAATTGATTCACAAACCTCAACCAGACCAATGCAATTTCTAACTATTAACCTCTCAAGTGCAGGGAGTTGGTCAAAGTCACCAAGACTACGAAGGTGTCCACAGAAACTTAAATTAAGTATCTTCAATGATCCAAGCAACCTTTTCTTTTTTAAGCACGATTCGTCCAACTACAAAATTGAAAATTTGAATCATAGTGAATTTCATCAACTCAACATTAATGAATACAGTATGAAGATAAGTTACCTTTTGCTTCTTCTCAAGTCGTTGTGGATCTCTATAACAACCAACAAAATATTCAATATTACTATATGACATGTCAAGAGCAACAAGATTCTCCATAGGTAAGTCTAAAGGTATACACTTTAAACGAAACCCATGCATACACAAGCATCTTAATTCCTCCGGAAAGTTCTCATAAGACCCATTCATGTGAACATAATTGAGTTGTAGTAGCATCAGACTATCCATGTTGCTCAACGCATCTGTTTTCAGCTCAAATGATGCACCTAACTTCTCTTTCTCAAGCATGCGCATGTCAAGGGAAAGGCCTACAAGATTTCCCTTACCCTAAAAAGAAACAGAATGCAAATAAAAAAATTAGACTATACAAAATATTATGGAGATGCACACTAACTACTACAAGCATACATGGCCTTTTACCTTTTTTTGTTTTAACACTCTGAATGACTCTTTATCACACCATAACCGACTTCGCTTCCATGGTTTATCAAGTGATTCTTGACGTACTTCAAATCTTCCCATCTCTTGAACCAACTGATGCATCTTCAATTCGTTATCCCATCCAATTCTAAGAAGGAATCGGTCAAGGAGATTCGTGATTCCAGATTTTGTGTTTATATCACATGCCTCTAATATTGTTTCAGTAACATCTCTATCTATTCCAACAAAATAACAAGCAATATATTTAAACAACTCCTTATCATTGTTAGATGGCAAAGAATCAAAGCTCATTCTCAAGACATTATTTATATGGGAACATGTTTCTTTCTTTAGCCCTTCTATGCACCCTTCCCAGTAAGCCACATCCCGATTATGCAGAGACTTGCCCAAAACTTTTAGAGCCAATGGATGTCCTTCACAATACTTCAAAATCTTATCTGATACCTCTTCATAACCTGGCTTGGGATGGTTGATCGTGAATGCATGAAAACAAAAAAGTTGTTGTGACTCAATCTCATCCAAGCCTCGAAGCAAAAGCCTTTCATTCTTGGGTTTAATGTTTGTTTTGAATAGTGTACAACTCTCTGTCAACCATGTGTTCTTTGTTGTTATTATAATTTTGCTTCCGGGATGAAAACCTTTGCTTCCAAGTAATGCATCCAACTGCTCAATACTATCAATATCATCAAGAACAAGAAACACCCTTTTATGAGCTACTGCATTCTCTATCTTTGAGGTGTATACTGAAACATCATAAACTTGAATTGAACTTGTTTTTGAAACGTCACCACACAATTGTTTTTGTATGTCAAGCAGCCCATTAAACTTTCCAACACATCTCCTACTTATATCTTCAATATAGCTGCTTGTGTGGAATTCACGACAATGTTGCCCATAGACATAATTAGCTAAATGTGTCTTCCCGATCCCACCCATGCCCGAAATAGTAAGTATGTCTGTTGTATGTGAGGATACATCTTTCAACCATGAAGTGACGAAGCTGATATGATGCTCTATCCCAATAAGTAGCGGTTGAGCACTCCTTAAAGGTAAATGTAATCTACGGTTGATGTCTTTCACAATTTCTTCAATAAACTTTGTCTCTAGCCTGAAACTTGATTCAATAAGAACTACAAAATACAATCCACAAAACTAACAAACCAAATTTCGCTGTTTAATCTATCCAAAGAATAAAACCAAATTTATATTATAGCTATTAATTTTATATATGTTCTTCACATCAAAACCATATTGTGTTTGCACTTCTAATCATTACAAGTTATCCAACGTGTAAGGTCATCAATGTATGTTTGATAATTTATAAGACCAAAGCTACCAATGCAATATAAGAATTCACTAATGGGCCACCTAACTTTACTATGTTTATACAAGCCCATCAAACTTAATTATCAATGTGGTGACCATCTGAAAAATGTGCCAGTTATATATTATTTTTACCACTTGTAAGTAACAGGGGTTATTTATCAAAAAACATGCTATGTTTGAAAGTGTTATGGTAAAATTAATAGTAGACGCATAGTGAATTGTCCAAAGTTGGTTTTTAATAGAAGCAAATGTTTAAAATCTATCAAAATGGTTAATCTATCTATATCTATATGAACTGATAATTGAAAACATAGATTCAACTTTCAGTATCATCTTTATCCTAATACATAAAATATATGTATGTTCATTTGATGCTATTAAAGAAAGTTATTGAAATACATGAGGAGAAGATGATATCGACATTTCATGCATTAATAAAAAAAAATTAAAGGTGTGAAAACATGGGTAAGAAAGTGGTTACCTTCCTTTTACGTCATTTCCTTTTAAATTAGCAACTTCTGTAAGGGCTTTATTCCATCGTTCCATCTTTTGAGCCCATTGACTTCTTTTATATGCATTCGTCTCTGCCTCCATTGTTTGTTTGTGCTTAGCCATTGCATCACCAAAGCTACTTTGTTGCTTCCTGACATGTGTGGGCTCCACATGATAAAATATTGGGATGACAATATGGTTGGATGTCATACGCTGCTCAAGGATCAGCACCAATTCATCGAGACACCATGTTGAAGAAGCGTAATTCTTGGACAACACGATAATAGAAGCCTGAGATGCCTTAATTGCAGTCTCCAATTCTGGCTTCAGATCTTCCCCTGTTTCAATCTCTTCATCATCCAAGAAGGTACTGATATTGGCGTCTATAAGTGCCTCATAAAGGTAATTGGTGAAACTAAGACGAGTGTCTAGACCTCTAAAACTTAAAAATACGTCATATCTATGATCATGAGTTGATGAACTGTGACTAAAAGTTGGTGAAGTATTGGCATAAGATGATGAAGAAGATGAAGATCCTTCTGGGAGTTCAGATAGAACAACCATTATGACTTATGGGTTGATGTGACTCTTTGCCCTTACCACGATTTTGTGTATTTATAAAAAGTTCCTCCTTATATGCATGTATCTTTCAGTAAGCTCTGAAACTCCTCTACACGTTATTGGTTATGAAAGTTGGTTTCACCTGATTTACTCACTTTTGCTTCAATGTCAGGATCTGGTACATAATGCCTCTACCTAAAATCAAAATTATTAATATCTACTGTATGCAACTAAAATCGCATCAAACAATTTGAAACTCAATGATAATGATATCCTTGACTTCTTTGAAAAATAAATAATAACTTTGAAGTAAAATACAACACATATGAACTCCAATTATGTTTATATGACACTTTTTATTCCTAAACTACAACTTTCGGTTGATTTTTGAGCTATATAGTGTGTAGCGTGTATATGTTTGTTTTAACCCTTGATTTGATTTTATTTAACTATTAAAACATCCCTAATATTGTCTAGATAAAATACATTTGAAATAAGTAACCCTCAAGCAAATCAACTCCAAATACCATTCTATAAACAATTACAAGGTTCACTATTACCTCCCACAAGAGAAATTGCAATACATCTAGGAAATTCCAAGCTTGTACTGGATATCAACAAACAATTAAAATATCTAAAGAAAAAAAAAAGTAAGTTTCTTGACATGGTTGTTTAAAAATCCCCGAAATTAGCAAAAAAAAAAATCTTTTCAACTTTGAAATTCTCTATAGTATCAGCATAAATCTAAATGATTTTGACTTTCATTCATGCTTTTTCTAAGGTTTCAATTTCAAACTTTAAGAATTAATTGAGCAGCAGTAATTGAAATAGACAAAATTCAATTACCTGTTAACAAAATAAACAAATGATTATGATGTAATTTATGATTAACAAGATGAAATTGTCTAACAACATGTGAAACTAAATTGTAAAAATGTCCCTTCATAGTTACCTGTCAATAGGAAGAAAAGGAGACCTGAAGCAGCGTTGATAGAGGATGAACCAGCAGTGACGAGGCTGAGAAAGATGACGACTGAAAATTAGAGAGGTTTGTCGGCAGGGAAACGGCGAGTCAACGAGGAAGGAAGGGAAAAGATGTTGTGGTTCTCATTTGCTTTACGAATTGACGGTGTTCTTTTTTATTTTCTAGACATAAGGACAATTCCAAGAAAATTAATGGTAAATCGGGGCAAATTCTAATGGATGTTGTTAATGGACCTCAAAACCATTATTTTTTAAAGTCAAAATCACTTTTCTTAAAACCAATTTGCGATGACATATTAAGTGATGTAAGTATATTATATTTGATATGATATATAAATTCTTTATTATCTTTTATACTTTTTCCACTCCTCTATTTGAATAAGATTTTTTATTTCGTTTTCATTTTTTTTCTTTCTAATATATATATATATATATATATATATATATATATATATATATATATAATATATATATATATATATATATATATATATATATATATATATATATATATATATATAAACCATACATAATCAATGTCTTAATTACAAATTGTAAAGCCTAAGGTACAACAAATTAAGCATGTTATCTTTAAAAAACAAGGAAAGCTAATCTGGACCGTCAGATCTGTATTGAACTGTGAGGATTTTCCGAATGGTGATCCGTGTGAAATGTTATTAACCAATGAGAATGGAGTGTTTAAAAATTGTCTTAAAAGACAACATGTAGAGCCTTGTGTACAAATTTATAATGCTTGAGTTGGGAAGACCTACTAAACACGCGGAGCCTTACACGGATCAACTCACACAGATCGCCACCGTGTCTTTCTTTTCTACATCGCTCTATTCTTCGTCATGTATTTCATTTTCAAAATTTGAAAACCACTGCCGCTTTTCTCTCTTTCTCCATTTTCTTCTCCTCTCTAACCCTAAATAGCCTCCCTCACCACCTCGATCATCATTGCACCACGTTTCCAACAACACGCCACCTCTCCTATTTCACCCTATCTCAGGAAAATCACCACAATCGCCATGGTTAAAGCTTTGTTGGGAACAAAAACTTTGATCTTGAAAAGGAATGAAACATATTTGTTTTTCAAGTTTAGATCTATTTTCCGATTATGTACATGGATCTTGATCCAGAGACCACCGTAATCGATTATATCTTATTCTAGCTTATTCTGATTTAGGGTTTCACCACCAAAATGCACCCCCTACTTCAAACAGATCTAAGATGAAGATAGAGGTATAGATCGACTTTTTGAACGATTGGCAACATTAGCCAACACTACTCTCTTGAAATAAACCAAAAATCTACAAGGTAAGCATTGATTTCGATCCCTAAGCCTGGCTACCTATATTGATTACAATCCCTAAAACTAACTCTCGATCTTGATGTTTTGTATATAGGAAACATTGTGATAGAAACGATTTCAAGACATAAACATCAATTGTGATATGGATTTCTAGCGTCAAACGTCACTATCAACCTCTGCCACCACCAGGTCCTTTTCTGCTTTCGAGGTTCATATGTGCCACCTTAGACCATTTAATTCCCCTGCTTGTTTTAGCTTGTTGTATATTATAGCAAGGTATGGTCTGATTTTTTTGTTTCTGTCTACACGAATCTATCACTTACTTTGTCAATTGTTCACTACCCCTCAGCTCCCTTGTATCTGAAAGACAAAATTGCAAAAATGGTCGCTGTGGTATGCATTTTTTGGGGGTTTTAGTCCAAACCATGACTTTTTTGGATTGGTAGTCCTTTTGAGCTAGTTTCATTGTACATTTGGTCTCTCGGTAAATTGAAATGACTATAATACCCTTGGGGTATTTATTTTTTATTTTTCTTTCATTTTTTAAACCAAATAATTATTTATATTTATTTAATTTAAAAATAAGAGGTCTCTTTCTCTCTCTCTCTCTCTCTCTCTCTCAAAAGTCAACTCATGGAAACTGGTAAAATCATTTTCTTCCTGATCAAATGTGGTCATAGACAAAATGTAAAACTTCTGCTTCTTCCTAATGTACCCGCTCACCATGTCCAGCACCACCTTGATCAGTTTGGATTACTGAACTTCCTCATTGTTCACACAAAAGTCAGCTCATACCCCTACCTTTTCCACCCTATAACCACCGCCCCTCCACTGCTATGCCATAGCACCACCAGTAACCATCGTGAATCACCACCATTGGCCACCATTTGGCAACCAACAACCCTAACCTCTTTCCCCTCTTTCCTGCTCATATAATCAACCCACCACCATGAGTATCATACCACCGTTGTGAAGCCACAGAACATCGCAACCCCACCGGAGACCATCCTCTTCAATCTTGGTCGAGCCCCGCCACCATTCCCTCTCTGTTTGTGTCAAGCAAGCTGCCAGAAACCACTTCACACCACCTATTCTTGTCACTCTCCTCCGTTTCTCACTTAACCGGAGAAACGGACCACCACAGCCACTGGTGGTAGTCCCTCCACCTTCCCCCTGTCGTGACCCGCCACCACCATATACTTCGAAACTGTTGCTGTCGCCGACTATTGTTGTGCTTTAGTATGGCCACCGCCTGTCACTGTAGTTCAACCGCCACGACACCACTAGGGCTCCTCCACCCTCCGCCATCAGCACCCACTGCCACCATCTTCACCTCCCATTGCCGCCACCGCTGTGAAATTCCGACGTTTTTGGGTTTGTTTCACCACATGAATCTAATGGGTTTTGAGCATTCTAACACTTCCTAAGTGTACATGCAACCCTAATAACCTTGGATCTATGTTTGTCTAATTATCATGCAAAGTTGATTTCCAAGGCTATGATCCTATCTAGCATACATGGGGAACAATTTTAACTTGACTAATAGATAGAACTACATACCTTGTTGTTGTAAGTGTTCCTTGAAACCTTGTGAGCCTAGAACCCCAAGTGTGATGCCTCAAATGCTTCACACAACACCAAAATGCTATGGAGTAAACTTGGAGAGAATGTATAACACTCAAAAATCGGCTCTAGCCCTCTTGTTTCTTGTCTAGTGTGTTGTCTAGCCGATTTTGGGGAGAGACATGGTCCTTATATAGTGTGTTGCATTAGGTAAAACCCTAATGTAACATGATTCTTCATTTCTCAATCCATGGGTTAACTCCATGGAGCATCCTATGGGTGGAACCCAACTTGATAGTCCATGGAGCCTTTTAGCCCACAATATAAGATATGGAAGATTTACATAATCTACCCATATATTTAATTAGTTATCTTTTGATCACTTAATTAATTCTAAATTAATTCTTGATCAAACTAATTAAATAATATTATTAATATATTACAACTTATAATATATTAATAAACCATATGTGTTATTTCTCTCATTTAGTTTATCCAATTGCATGGTGCCATGCAACCCAAATGGACCATGCCGGGTCGGGTCAAGTACATACCAGAAATAGTTATGGACTTAGACACCTTATCCAACAGTCTCCCACTTGGATAAGTCTAATAACTATAACTGCAAGTATGACTTTAGGAACCGATCGGCAATCGTAGCTCTTTTCAAGGTTTCTCGGAACTGAGAAGATGATGGTACGCCATTTCAGATAAGGGATCATATAATCCTCTGTTCTAGATATCAGCCGGACAAACACATGGAACATTAGTCTTGCTTATTGTCCAGTAGTTTGTTTCCCGATTTCCGATTTGTTTGACAAAGAACTTAATTGAACACATCAACTTAGTTCTGACCGGGCCTGGTACATAGGTCAAAACAAAATCATCGAGGGGCCCATATATCAGCTTCTAATCCAAGAAGGAACAGATAAACTTCGACTCATATGCTTGTTCTACTACTTGTTAAATTACACACAAACGTACGTTTTATAACATCGAGTTACCAATGCGGTTTCGCACGTTCAATGCATAACTAACTCATAGTTAACAATTCATATCTCTAGGTTTGAAGACTTATATGATATTACCGTCTCGCGATCACTCGAGATAAATTCCATGAAGTGATACCAACGAGCGTGGGTTGAATCCAATACTCAGAACTTATGAGCACTCATGAGTGTTGAGGCCATGTCCAATATCTTAGACCTCTACAACCAACTCATGACAGTCTTACTTCATATCTACTTCCAACATATGACTGACTGTGGATAATTTGAATAATATGTAAAACAACATAAATATTCTGCAAGTCAAAACATGCAAAAGAAATAATAGTAAACGATTGACAAGCGATAGCAACACTTTACTCATAAATAAACACAACTTTTATTCATCATCAAATGTCAATTACATTTTACAAATTTCAAAATTATCTAACTACTAAAACTAATATCATCCTTCAGCCCTATGCTCCTAGCATGTTGGAGATGCTTAACCCTACCCAGTCCCTTCGTGAGGGGATCTGCCGGGTTCTCATCCGATGATACTCTCTTTGCCACGAGAAGTCCTTCTTCTATACGATGTCTGATGAAATGATATTTTCTGTCGATGTGTCTGGATCTCCCATGATCCCTTGGTTCCTTTGCTAAGGCAACTGCACTTTCACTATCACAGAAAATCTCTATGGGCTTCGATATAGTTGGTACAACTCCAAGGTCTCCAATGAAGTTCTTTAGCCACATAGCCTCTTTCGCTTTGCTTGCCGCTATATACTCTGATTCGCAAGTTGAATCAGCCACTGTCTCCTGCTTGGAATTTTTCCAAGAGATTGGTCCTCCATTTAAGGTAAAGACCCAGCCCGACTAATAACGGAAATTATCCCTATCAGTCTAGAAGCTAGCATCACTATACCCTACAACTCTCAAGTCATCACTCCCACCAAGGGTAAGGACCCAATCCTTAGTCCTGCGCAGGTACATGAGAATGTTCTTTACCGCTGTCTAGTGAGCCTTACGAGGATTCCCCTGATACCTGCTAACCATGCGTAAAGCAAAGGCTACATCAGTACGAGTACAGGTCATAGCATACATGATCGAACCTATTGTCGAAGCATAGGGTACCCGACTCATTTCTGCTCATCCTCAGTACTTGGGCTCTGAGTCTTACTCAGTCTAGTGTTACTCTGGATGGGTAACTCTCCTTTCTTGGAATCTTCCATGCTGAATCTCTTCAACACCTTATCCAAGTAGGTACTTTGACTAAGTCCAATTAGTCTTTTACTCCGGTTTCTCAAGATCCTTATCCCTAGAATATAGGCAACTTCTCCTAGGTCCTTCATAGCAAAACACTTCCCAAGCCAAGACTTAACTTCCTGCAAATTTGGGATGTCATTTCCTACGAGTAGTATGTTATCCACATACAGTACCAAAAATCTAACTATACTCCCACTAGCCTTGACATATACACAAGATTCATCTTCACTCCTAGAGAAGCCAAACTCTTTGACCTTCTCATCAAAGCAAAGATTCCTCTTGCGAGGTGCTTGCTTTAATCCATAGATGGATTTCTCAAGCTTACACACTCTATTAGGGTACTCTGTGCTGACAAAACCCTCTGGCTAATTCATGTAAACATCCTCAGCCAACTTTCCATTAAGGAAACCGGTTTTGACATCCATTTGCCATATTTCATAGTCATGAAATGCAGCTATGGCTAACAATACCCTGATGGACTTAATCTTGGCTACTGGAGAAAAATTCTCATCATAATCCACTCCAGGAGTTTGAGAGAAGCCCTTTGCTACCAGTCGAGCCTTATAAGTGTGTACATTACCATCCATATCGGTCTTCTTCTTGAAGATCCATTTGCACCCTACAGTCTTACGACCTGGCACATTGTCAACCAAGTCCCAGACCTGATTGTCATACATGGATTGTATCTCGCTATCCATTGCCTCTTTCCATTTAGCAGACTCGGGGCCTGCCATAGCTTTTGCATAGCTGTTTGGTTCATCCAGACTTACCGGTGTCTCATCACTGATAAGTGTCTCACCTTCTGCAGTAATATGGAAACCAAAGTAATGCTCAGGTTCATTCCTAACCCTTATGGAATGCCTCATAGGTACAATTAGAGGTATAATTGGATCAACAAGAGGTTCCACCTCAAGTTGACTGCTAGGGTTTGAGTTTCCTTCACCACTTGACTCTTAAAGTTCTTCAAGGTCAATTAGCCTCCCACTGTCTCCTTGGCTTATGAACTCTCTCTCTCGAAAGACTGCCCTCCTTGCTACAAAGACCACATTCTCACTAGGTCTGTAGAAGAGGTAACCAAAGGATTTTTGTGGGTAGCCGATGAAAATACACTTCTCGCTTCGAGGTTCGAGCTTGTCATGTGTCTCGCGTCTTACAAAAGCCTCGCAACCCCAAACCTTGATGTGGGCTAGACTAGGAACTTTTCCAGTCCACATCTCGTGAGGTGTTTTGGCAACCTTCTTTGTAGGGACCAGATTAAGGATATGGGTGGCAGTTTCTAAGTCATACCCCCAAAATGAGATTAGTAGCGTAGCTCGACTCATCATGGAACGAACCATGTCCAACAAGGTTCGATTACGCCTCTCAGCCACACCATTCAACTGCAGTGTCCTGGGAGGTGTCAATTGTGAGACAATCCCACATTCCCTTAGATAGTCGAGAAACTCAGTACTAAGATACTCACCACCGCGATCGGATCGAAGCATCTTAATGTTCCTGCCCAATTGATTCTCGACTTCCTGTTTAAACTCTTTAAACCTTTCAAAAGTCTCTGGCTTATGCTTGATTAAGTAGACATATCCATATCTACTATAATCATTTGTAAAAGTCACATAATAATGATTAGCATCCCTTGTGGCATGTTTGAAGGGTCCACACACATCCGTGTGTATAAGATCCAACAAACCTTCACCCCTCTCACAAGAACCTGTGAAGGGTGACTTTGTCATTTTTCCAAGTAAGCATGATTCGCAACTATCATCTGTCTTTAGGTCAAATAACTCCAAGACTCCATCCTTTTGGAGTTGGCCTATGTTTTTCTTGCTTACATGTCCAAGACGACAATGCCATAATGATGCTTTATCCAAGTTATTATCATTAGTAGAATCAATACACAATACATTATTTCCTAAGTTATCTACAACAGACACAGCTTCATACACACCATCACAAGGTAATGTTTTAAAATAAAACACATTATTAAAGAAAGCATTTATTCCACCAGTTTCATTATCAAAAGAAAAGGTAAAACCTTGTTTATACAAAGCATGAAAGGAAACTACATTTCTTGCCATTTCTGGCGAATAACAACATTTATTCAAATCTAAAGTAAATCCACTACTAAGAAACAAAGTATAAACTCCAATCTTGGTGACAGGTGAAACTTTCCTATTCGCCATGATCAAGTTTATCTTTCCATGCTCCACATTATCACTTCTTCTTAGTCCCTGCAATTCAGAACAAATATGAATACCGCAACCGGTATCAAGGACCCAAGAGTTAGAATAGAGTGAATTATTAGATGAGATAGTGTAAATACCTGCATGGTTGGGTTTAACCTTCCCATCCTTCAAGTCTTGCTGGTACTTTGAGCAGTTACGCTTCTAATGCGCCTTTTCGTGGCAGTAAAAGCATTCAGCCTCTTTGGGATCAGAAGAAGGTGTAACGAAACCTTTCTTGGTTCCGCTAGAAGAGGAGCCATCAAGGGTCTTACCCTTGGTGCCCTTCGAAGGGTTCTTTCTCTTCTTCCCTCTACATTTCCCGATTGCCAGGACAGGTGCTGAGTTTGGAGTAGTAGCAGGAGTGGTCACAACCGACTTACCTTTAAGACCTGATTCTGCAGTCTTTGGGAGTCCCTGAAGTTTGCTAAGTGTAACTTCCTCCTTATTCATGTGGTATGTCATGCGGAATTGATCATAACACGAAGGTAAGGAGTGAAAAATAATATCTATTGCTAACTCCTTAGGGAAGTTCACATTCAACTTCATCAATCTATCTACATACCTTTGCATTTTCTGCATGTGGCTTGTGATGGGTTCGCCATCTTTCATCCGGGTTGTGATCATAGAGGAGATGATTTCATATCGCTCTTGACGAGCACTCTGATGGTAGCGGTCCATCAAATCCTGGTGCATCTCAAAAGGATAGTAGTCCTCATAGGACTTTTGGAGCTCGGCTGTCATGGTGACCATCATGATGCATGCCACTTTGGTTGCATCTCTTTCATGTGTCTCATATTCAGCAAACTCCTCAGGAGTAGCAGTTGACTCAGGCACCTTGAGCTCCTTGTCAAGAACATATTCCTTGTTCTCGTAACGAGTGATCATCCTGATGTTTCTGATCCAGTCAGTAAAGTTGGATCCATCAAAGATGACTCTCCCACAAAGGTTCATGAGAGAGAAGGAGCCTGTAGGGTTTGAGCCAGGAGTAACATTGTTGGAAGACATCTGAAAAGAAGAAAGTAAGTTTAGTTTAGATATAGGGATAGTCCTTAATAAAACACCCAAATATAATATTAAGGCTAGGATCCAATCACAATATATTATAACCTAGAAGAGGGATGTCGTAATCCAAGTTATAACATATTTGAAAGGTAGGTGAATGACGATTCACCAATTTCCACCATGAAAATGAAATATAAATTATTAGGTTTTATTTGGCTTTTAGAAATTCCTAGATTCTTTGAGATTCATTGAACTTTTTCAATGGCATGTTTCAATCTCGAGTGTGCCCTTCATGTTTTGTGACTGGGATACCGAGGATCACAAAACAAGGTGTGAAGTAACCATGCAAATTACTTGGTACCCTTAATGTTTTTCACTTAATCATTGTGCCGGTAAACCACACGCGCTCCTTCCGACCTCATGAAAAACCTTAAGTCACCCTTTGCCTTCCTTGTTAAGTCCAAGTTAGTGTGCCGGTAAACCACACACGTTCCACCAACGACTTAAGCAAGGTGCAAAGTGTAATTTCATGGATTAGCACCTTATTCACATTTTTCCTAAAGTAACTAAGATTGGGAATTTATAAAACATTTAGTTACTTTATAATAATCATTATAATTTTAATGAGAATTTATAAGTCCTTGTCTTACCCGTTCGGCTAACGACCCTCCACCAGTCAAGCAAGCGGTGGGTGAGAGTGGACACCCATTAAGTTGCCATTTTATAGGCAACAACCTTATACCCACCTTATAGACCGACTTCGTGAATGAGGCGTACTAGCGGTTGGAACTAAAGTTTTAATCAAGACTTTACTTGTTCCAAAAACTTGAGGGCAAGTTATGTAAACTTTCAAAACTTTTCATTTCTTGTAACTTATGAGTTTATTAGGGTATTAAAAATGAAGATTCTTCATTTTTATAACCCATGTGTTCTTTTAATGGTTTTAAAGCAAAGTGACTTTTGGTTTTCCATAACTTGAGGACAAGTTATGGACTCCATTAAAACACATAATAATCATGAATTAATCTACCACATAGGTTACAAATAATTCCTATGATCATCTAAACATCATAAGATCAAGAACATGAATATGAACACTTTCATGAATCAAAAATTACATTTAAAACTTGTAATTTTGATAATTGTCATTGTAAATGGATTAGCATAAACATTACTCCATCTAAAACATGTTTTCAAGTACCAAAACAATTTAGGGTAATGTTTTTAGTCCATTTCCAGCAACTAAAATCGAAATTCTGAACACAGCAGCCTCTACTCGTCAAGTGCTAGAACAGACTCGACGAGTAGCTTGCATTTGTGCATGGACTCGTCGAGTCCCCCCATGGACTCGGCGAGTTCATACGAGCAGAAAACAGAAAATTGATTTTTTCAAGTAGTTTGCACAAAAAATCAACAAACAAGCCTAGGCTCTGATACCACTGATGGGTTTTGAGCATTCTAACACTTCCTAAGTGTACATGCAACCCTAATAACCTTGGATCTATGTTTGTCTAATTATCATGAAAAGTTGATTTCCAAGGCTATGATCCTATCTAGCATACATGGGGAACAATTTTAACTTGACTAATAGATAGAACTACATACCTTGTTGTTGTAAATGTTCCTTGAAACCTTGTGAGCCTAGCACCCCAAGTGTGATTCCTCAAATGCTTCACACAACACCAAATGCTATGGAGTAAACTTGGAGAGAATGTATAACACTCAAAAATCGGCTCTAGCCCTCTTGTTTCTTGTCTAGTGTGTTGTCTAGCCGATTTTGGGGAGAGACATGGTCCTTATATAGTGTGTTGCATTAGGTAAAACCCTAATGTAACATGATTCTTCATTTCTCAATCAATGGGTTAACTCCATGGAGCATCCTATGGGTGGAACCCAACTTGATAGTCCATGGAGCCTTTTAGCCCACTATATAAGATATGGAAGATTTACATAATCTACCCATATATTTAATTAGTTATCTTTTGATCACTTAATTAATTCTAAATTAATTCTTGATCAAACTAATTAAATAATATTATTGATATATTACAACTTATAATATATTAATAAACCATATGTGTTATTTCTCTCATTTAGTTTATCCAATTGAATGGTGCCATGCAACCCAAATGGACCATGCCGGGTCGGGTCAAGTACATACCAGAAATAGTTATGGACTTAGACACCTTATCCAACAGAATCATCGATTTGGGTTTCCTAAAGAGCTTGTGTGTTTCATCATAGGCAAACCAAATCCTTGAACATAAGGAGTATCAACAATTTATTCGTAGAAGTGAATATTCGATAATTTCATGGGAGAAATTGAAAAGGTGACGTGGCATCACGAGATTTAGACACATGGCACCATGAAAATATGACATGTGGCTTGTTCTAGAAGCGGTATCGGTGGCCCATCCCGATCGCGACATGTGGCAGGCAAGCGCAGGAGCTAGCACAGCCCTGGTGCGAGGCGCGCCTCTAGGTAGTGTGCACCGTATATCCCTGTACCCTATATATATTCTTCGAAATTGCTTTCATTTCACACAAAAAAAATCAAGTCCATTTCTCTCTAGAGCATTCCTCCATCTGGAGGCCGACTCTTGTGAGATTTCTTATGATATTTTAGTGAAGTTTGAGAAGTCTAGAAGTCCGACAAATAGAGTTTTTGGTTCGGAGCTCTGTCCGCATACTTTCGTGGTTTTCACTAAACTCTCTGTAAGTTAAGCTACACACTTTTATTTTCAGTGTAACTTATATTTATGGTCATAAGTCATTATTGTGAACATATAAATAAAATTTATCAGTAATTCCATGTCATTTTAAAGGTTGATCTACTTATGGCGATGATGTGTAGGCTGGAACTAGTGAGGTGTTTAAAGTGGGATTTCCAAACTGTATACTCTGTATACCAAACGGACCCTACCTCCAACATGATCCTACCTAGTTGTCCCTTATCAACTATAGATCAATAGACAATGAAATTGTTGAGGTATCTAGACTATTAATTAGATATAAGAGGTAATAAACTAAGACTTATAGATAATTAAACCTAGCTAATATCAATGGAAAATCCAAGTGCTAAAGTGAAGCACTGTCCAACTTTCCAGTCATCCACTTTAACAAGTGAATGTATAGTTACTTTCAACTTACACACATATATAAAGTATTTAAGATAATTACATGCTATATATGCATGTTATCTATGTTCCTGATATCTATGTTAGACGAACAATATATACAAGTTTTATTTGATTTGAAACTGTATATGTATTTTTATTACCTATAAATATATTGAATAAAGAATGGTAGATATAAGATGATATCGATGTTGAGAGATGAAATATGATATAGATGATGAGAGGCCTATTAGATAAATATTGGCAGTTGTGGACTTGGTGCCTATTAGATAGATACTGACAGCTACGGACTTAGTGTCCATTCGATAAGCACCGGTAGCGATGAACTTCGTGCCTAAACACCAACAACGATGAACTTCGTGCCTATTACTCAGGACAAATCCTTAGGAATAAAAATAGAAAGAAACTTACTAACATGTATTGTAGAGAAATCTCTGTAATAATACTTTCCGCAACGATGATTAAGATGATTCCTAAGGTAAATCCTTAAGAATAAATATATAAGAAAGCCTACTGGTTAGTATCATAGAGGAATCTTTGAACTAGTATTGTCAGCAAAGATGATCCTTAGGCTAGATCCTTAAGAATAAAGAAGATAATGAGGATGGAAAATTAGGTTAATTGTTTGATAACCAAACATATTAATTATATTATTGTGGGTTGAAAATTCTATGTACTTCCAACCTGACCCACTCAACTTCTTTGTATTATAGGTAGCGGTATAAAGTTGCATGTATGATGAGAGATTCAAAGACATGTAGATTATTAATATAATGAGACATTGTAAGTCTTTTTTTATGCTTATGTTTCTAGTATTGACGATGCCATCACGAGTTTTATAAATAAAATACATTTTTCTTGGAAATGTGTTGATAATATTATTATCATATATTTGGGACAAATTCTTTAAAGTAATTTTTTTTTTGAAAAAAAGATACTCTGATTTAATAAGCATAAATAAATTATTTTTTTTCTTATCGTAGAAATACGGATGTCACAAAGAAGGTATTGTTGTTTAAATCTTAGAAAGCTTGTGCAAATAAGGCTTGTACAATTTGCATTTAGAAAAAATACATTGGGTGAGAATTACCAAAAAGAGGCATTGTAATGATCACGTAATAAGCACATGTGGGCTGGTAATTCTTTCTTGGTAAGCGCTCGGCAGGCAAGATCAAAGTTTCCATCCCGATGATTCAAAGTGTCCGGTTCAAAAACTTCAAAATGTGTGGTCCAACTTTGGCAGATTTGACGCTTTTGGTCCCCGACATGTGAAACTTCAATACTTTTACACTTTTAGCCCTTAGACGAAAATATTTTACCATTTGGTTCCTATCTTCAAGTAATTTTGCATTTTTGGCTCTTTGACTTTTCCTGTTAACGTTCTTTGACTTTTTGACGTTTGTGCTCACCTGGAAAATCTTATAATGTGTCAATAATTTTTTAAAAGAATTTCATCTCATTTTAAGATCACATATAAAACTATTTTTCAACACAGCCCCAAGTACATTTTGATGAGAACTTATATAACTACTTTGATTTTGGTACAATCTAGACCAATCAGAAAATTTGAGGATAGCATATTTGGTTGTGTATGACTTTTACTCATGTGATGAGAGAAGGAATTCAGTGTCAAAAAGTATACCTTACGTGCGTCACCAATTATATCAGGCTTCCTTTGAGAGAATGCTCTAAACCATAGTTCTTCTGAAAACAGATAAAAAGTAATGGGTTAATCATTATATATTCACACACATCTACTTAGACGAAGTAGTTTTAGTGTTCTTGATATGTTTATGTGATCCAACATGTCAAAACATTTGATCAGCTACAAAAAGAATATATATATAATAAAAAATAACAAATCGGCCCTTTTAGACGGAACAATGCTCGGATTAATTCATTCAAAAATTAAAAGTAGAACTTCTTTTTCAGATATATATTTTATAATAACAAACTCTTATCTTAGAGGTTAATAAAATCAATAATAAATGGGTGGATTTGGGTCATATGATCCATTTATTTAAATTTTTTAAAATAAACGAGTCATTATCCATCTATTCAAAGAAGTTGGGTCATTGGTCATAAGACATGACAATAAAAATATTTAATAAAAACGACATTTACCACCAATTCTGCCAGGTTGAAAAAATCGCCTATGCCGTAGGACGTATTCTCCTGTCGTTTGAAAAGGGTTTTTAAAAGGGGAGAGATCTCCGCCAATTATGTGATTCCATGACTTGTAATAACCCAACACATCTTCTTCTTCTTCTTCTTCTGCTTCTTCTTCATTGTTCTCTCCATCATCATACACAAAACTCACCCCACACTCCTTTACACGTTCATTATTCCTCGAATCTGTAACAGTAATAGTAACCTGATCACCAGCCTCCATCTCATTCATCCCAAACATCCAATGACTTAACAACATGCAACACTTTGGGCCTCCAAAAGGTCTGTCTGGGTAACGTTCGTAACTCCACATGCGTTTCTTTGTTACATTACTAATTTTTATCATTGGCGAACGAGGGAACTGACAATCGTGAAATCGAGATGTCTCAACAAAATATTGAAACCCAAGAAAAGGATCATTTGGAATAGGCGTGTGCACAGAGCAGAAGTTGAGTCCTGTAAGCAGGTTGTTTGGAGATGATGATGGGATGGTAAATGTTATTGATCGCCCTGCATTTCTGTGCCTAAACCAAATTGGCATCTCGTCCACCTCATACATTGTGCTGAATATTCCAAATTGATAAAACATCTGCCAAATACACCAACCTTAATTAATCGCCATAAAATATATCATACATATTCACATAAAAGCATAGTTGGCTACACAAACCTGCATTTCAGAATCCAAAGAATTAGTTCCCAAGTGCCTTTCGTTAAGGAAGTCTAATTTAGTCCAACCCAATCTACGTAGTACCTTTTTATCAACACCCACTATTGGTTGGATTTTCACCATGCCTTCAATTTCATAAGACCCACGTTCGAAACCTCTCAAGTGAAAGAGTACCCGAAGTGGTGACATTTCTGGATCAAATACAATTTTTTCTATAGAATGATTACGATGAGGATAAAGAACCAACTTTCTTAGTGTAGGTGGAGGATGCTCGATTGACTTCAATTTTTTACAACCTTCCATACTAAGTATCTCAAGCCTAGGAAGGGTTCTCACACAAGTGGGGAGGGAAATGATAGGATTCCCATTTAAAAATAATTCCTTTAACATGGATAGGCAACTGAAGTCCATGGGAAAAGATTCAGTGGACAAATTATTATTTGCAAGTGACAAACTTACTAACGATCTTGGTAAAGAAATTGCAAAGGCCTTCAAATCACATGGTATACCACCTGGAAAGGCGGAGGAAGAGGCTCTTGTGTTTATGCCAATGTTGTTAGCCTTGCACATTTCCCGTAAATCCGTATCCCTATTCTCAACACGAGATTCACCAAGATTACATCCATCTAGAAGCATTGTTTTAACCTTCTTTAACATGCTTATGTTTCTTGGAAATTTTTCAAGCTTGTTGCAGTTGCTCATATCAATAAGGACAAGTTCAACACATTGTTTAATCGAATCACAAACCTCAAGCAAAACAATGCAATTTCTAACTATTAACCTCTCAAGTGCGGGGAGTTCGTCAAATCCACCAAGCATACGAAGTTGTTTACAAAAACTTAAATTAAGAATCTTCAATGATCCAAGCAACCTTTTGTCTTTTAAACACGATGCATCCAACTACAGAAATGGAAATAAGTTAGAACAGTAGTGAAATTCATCAAACTCAACATGGAAGAATAAGAAATGAAAATAAGTTACATTTTGCCTCTTCTCATGTCGTTGTGGATTACTATAACAATTGAAAAATGATTCAATATTGCTATATGACATGTCAAGAGCAACAAGATTTTCCATAGGTAAGTCTAAAGGTATAGAATTTAAATGAAACCCATGCATACATAACCATCTTATTTCTTCTGGAAAGTTCTCATAAGACCCATTCATTTGCACATAATTGAGTTGTAGTAGCATCAAATTATCCATGTTACTCAACGCCTCTGTTTGAAATGTTGCACACAAATTCTGTTTCTCAAGCATCCGCATATCAAGGGCAAGGCCTACAAGATTTCCCTTACCCTAAGAAGATACAGATAGCCAAAATAATTAGACAATACAAAGCAATTTGAAAATGTACACTACTAAAAAGTATAAATAAGCTCTTACTTTTTTTTGTTTCAACACTTTGAACGACTCCTCATGACACCATAATCGACTTCGCTTCCATGGGTTATCAGGTGATTCTTGATGTACTTCCCATCTTCCCATCTGTTGAAGCAACTGATGCATCTCCAATTCGTTATTCTTTCCGATACTAAGAAGAAATCTATCAATGAGATTCGTAATCCCACATCTTGTGTTTATACCACATGCCCTTAATATTGTTTCGGTGAGATCTTTATCGACTCCAACAAAAAAACAAGAAATATGCTTAAATAAGTCTTTATCATTGTTGGATGGCAAAGAATCAAAACTCATTTTCAAGACATTATTTATAGGGGAACTGATTTCTTTTTTTAGCCCTTCTATGCATCCTTCCCAGTAAGCTACATCTCGATTATGTAGAGACTTGCCTAAAACTTTGAGAGCCAATGGATGTCCTTGACAATACTTCACAAGCTTATAAGACACCTCTTCATAACCTGCCTTGGGCTGGTTGCACATAAATGCATGGAGACACAAAAGTTGTAGTGATTCAATCACATGTAAGCCTTCAAGGAAATGCATTGCATGCTTAGGTTTAATGTTTGTTTTGAAAAGTGCACAACTCTCTGTCAACCATGAGTCCTTTGTTGTTATTATAACTTTGCTTCCAGGATGAAAACCTTTGCTTCCAAGTAATGCATCCAACTGATCAGAACTATCAATATCATCAACTACTAGAAAGACCCTTTTACGGGCTAATGTGTTCTCTATCATTGTGGTGTATTTAGAAACATCATAAACTTGAATTGAACTTGTCTTTGAAATGTCATGGCACAGTTGTTTTTGTATATCAAGTAGCCCATTATACTTTCCATCACACCTCCTGCCAATATCTTCAATATAGCTGCTCGTGTCAAATTCACGACAATGTAACCCGTAGACATATTTGGCTAATGATGTTTTCCCGATTCCACCCATACCCGAAATAGTGAGTATGTCAGCCGTATGTGAGGATCCATCTTTCAACCATGAATTGATGAACTTAATTGAAGACTCCATCCCAATAAGTAGGGGTTGAGCAATCCTTAAGGGTACATCGATTCTACCGTGAATGTCATTCACAATTTCTTTAATAAACTCCTTCTCTAGCCTGATTTAATAAGAACTTTAAAACATTATAATCCACAATACTTACAAACCAGATTTGGAGGTTTTATTTATCCAACAATCCAAATCAAAATTATATAATAGCTATTTTTTATTAAATTAATTCCTCAAATCAATACCATACTATATTTGCACTCCTACCATACAAATATCTAATGTTTAAGGTTATAAATATTTATGTATGCTAAGACCAAAGCTAGAAATGTAATAGAATATTTCACTAATGGGTCGCCTAACTTCACTACGTTTCTACAATAATATAAAACTTAAAAGGTTTTGCATGCGAATGAAAAAATTAACAGTTGTAGGTTATGCTTTATTACTTACTGGTAAGAGAACTTCTTTATTGTAAAAGACATTATGATTTGAAGGTAGTATGGTATACAGATAACACTTCATTGAAACTTTGGTTTCTAATGGAAAGCATGTCAAGATAATTGAAATTGTTTATCTAAATATATAACTTATGACAAACTACTAAATGCACAACAAACGTGTCAAACTTATCAGAACCGTTAATCTTTCTATATGAATTCATTTATGAGATCACATAATACAACATATAGGTTCAATTTTGTTCATCTTCTTTGTCCTAGACATGATATATATACCTATTTCATACTGAGGAAAGATATTAAAATGCATAGGAAGAAGCTGATATTTGCATCTTTCATGCATTAATCACATAAAATTGAAGCCCTATGGAAATATGGGTAAGAAAGTTGTTACCTTCCATTTACATTTTTCCCCTTTAAGTGAGAAACTTGTGTAAGTATTCTATGCCAACGCTCCATCTTTTGAGCCCACTGACTTCTTTTATTTGCATCTGTCTCTTCATCCATTTTCTGTTTATGCTTAGCCATTGCATCCCCGTAGCTACTTTGTTGCTTCCTGACATGGGTGGGCTCCACGTGATAGAAGATTGGGATGACGATGTGATTGGATGTCATACGTTGTTCAAGGATCAGCACCAATTCATCGAGACACCATGTTGAAGAGGCGTAATTCTTAGACAACACTATAATAGAAGCCCGAGATGCCTTGATTGCATTCTCCAATTCCGGTTTCAGATCTTCCCCTGTTTCAATCTCTTCATCATCCAAGAAGGCAGTGATATTGGCCTCTATAAGTGCCTCATAAAGGTAATCGGTGAAACTATGACGAGTGTCAAGACCTCTAAAACTTAAAAATATGTCATATCTATAGCCATGAGTTGATGAACTATGACCACAAATTAATGAAGAAGATGACGATCCTTCCGAGAGGCGTTGAAAGAGAAAATCCATTATGAGTTATCACCCTTCACACAATTTTGTGTATATATTTAACGATTTTACTTGTATGCTCTGAAACTCCTCCACACGTTATCGGTTATAAAAGTTGGTTTCACGGATTTCCTCAGTTCTGCTTCAATGTCAGGATCCCCTACATATTAGCCTCTACACAAAATCCAAAGTACTAATATTGATAATATGTAACTCGAATCACATCAAACAATTTAAATCTCAACAATAATAATACCTTTAAGTTCTTCAAAATAAAAATTTTAAGAGATTACAATTCATATGAACGCTAACTGTGTTAATACACTAATTCATATCTCCAAACTCCAAATTTCAAGTTGATTTTGGAGTTATATAGTGCATAATGTGGATATGTGTGTTTTAATCATTGATTTTGATTTTGTGTTCAAAGGCTGCCTTTATCAATACAAAACTCGGTTGCTTTGTGTGCAAGGGACATAGGGGAATCAAGCATAGGCATCTAAACACCGCAAAAAGAACATGGAACAGCAGCCTCATGGCAGTAGCAAGTTCGGGTACAAGAAAATAACAAACCAATTTATTCATTTAACCAACATAAACATTCGTACTATTGTCTAAATAAAATCAAATTTAATTTCACTTGAGTAATTTTTAAACAAATTCAACACCAAATAAATACCATTCTATAAACAACTACATGATCCACTATTACCTCCCATAAAAGAAATTGCAATATATATAGGAAATTTCAAGCTTTCCCTAGATATCAAAAAACAATTAAAAGATCTTGACATGGTTGTTTATATATCCCCAAATTACCAACAAAATTTTTTTTTTTCAACTTCGAAATTCTCCATCACTGGATCAAGTATCACCGTAAATCTAAAGGAATTCAACTAACATTCATGGGCTAGTTCCAAAGGAAATGTTTTTGAAACTAAAAGGTCATGTCCTTTCAAAGGTTTTAGTTTCAAACTCTAAGAAGTAGCTGAAATAGACAAAATTCAATCATTTGTAAACGAAATAAACAAATGATTTATGATTAAGAAGATGAAATTGTCTAACAACTGAAACTAACTTGTAAGAATATCCCTTCATAGTTACCTGCCTGTAGGAAGACAAGGAGACCTGACGCAGTGATGATAGAAAATCAAAAAACAGTGACGTGGCTAAGATAGATGTGGAGTTAAGATTACAAAGGTTTGTCAGCAAGGAACCCGCGAGTCAACGAGGAAGGAAGGGAGACTGACATAAGGAGAATTCCAAGAAAATTAATGGTAAACTGGGGAAAATCTACGAAGAAAAGAAATGGTAAATTGGGGAAAATCTACGAAATTGTTTAAGTCAATACGGAAAAGGCTAGTCAACGCCAGAGACTGGAGTTGTATTGTGATTTTCTTTTGCCTTACGCTCGAAGCCTGTCGAGGGTTTTGCTTCTTTTGAATATATTTTTGATTAACCATTGCAAACGAGTTTTTCAAAAAATGATCATATTTTTTTTATTTTAGAAATCATTTACTCTTAATTTTGGATTTTATCATTATGTTTTGCAATTATTTCGGTTTTTTTTCAATCTTTTTACAAAGAATTTATGTATTTATGTCATAGAAGCTGAAATCAGAAGACATTTTCTCTCCCACGGAGTGTTCGATCAAATGCCAAAGTGGAGTTTTCACATGTTAGAGCTAAATTTGATGAACTAGGTGCATCAAAACTCATAATATTTCATGATTCTTCACCTAAAAATGTAAACATTTGGGTTGATTTGTGAGCAACGTCAACACCTACCTAGCAGTTCTCTTTCACCATCATCGGCTTCGTTGAGTTTGGCCTAACTTCTGTGTCGCCTATCTGGACAATCCCTAGATTTTTTTTTTTTTTTTTTTTTTTTTTTTAGAAACCACACAGACTATGTTCGACAAAAAAAAAGAGGAACTAAGTTTATGATATTTGGTAAATTATACGGATCATATTTGTAATTTTGTGGACAAATTAAAAAAGAAAAATCACCAAATCTATTAAAGCAATTCAATAAAAAAGTCTCATTTTTTTGTAACTTTATCAAAATGACGATGTCTTTGCTAATACACTTAGTTTGCGAATCATGAACTAGATGTTGAATGATCATCACTATTAATTTCTTACTATCTCAAATTTAACCCAATTATGTTCGCAAAAATTTAAATCCTTCAAACTCTTTAAGGACTTAATTTTATGTAAGAGAAAATTCAGTAAATGACCAAAATTGAGGGGTTATTTGAAAAAAATAACCATGGAAATGAGGAATTCGGAATATGACCAAAGGTTCCGCAGAGGGGGTTTTGCGGAACCATAAACACCTCTACGGATTCTTTATTGCTCTGAGGATCAGGGGCATTACAGTAAAAAATAACTCGAACGCGGAAGAAGCTAGGACAGTCGATTCGCGGAAGGAAGCTGCAGACGCCGGACTGTGATCGGAACGGACACAAAAATGTCACAGCGAGCTTGATTCGTGGAACAACTGCACTCCGATATATTATCCAATAGATATGGAACTCAAGTAATATTACAATTTTTTTCCTAATCTTCGTATAAACTCGGAAGTAGAAATTGACTATATGAGTTGGAAATTGATAGGTTAAATGTTATATATAAACATGTATTCTTGTTAGGGTGTAAGGACTGGAGTTTGTGAAATAAGAAATCGATTTATCCTATTCTTTTTTTCATGAACAGATCCACAGAGGTCCTCTGCTCAACAACAGATCCGCAGAGGACCCTCTGCGGAACGATATATGCCTTTGCGGAAATGTATTTTTTTGTTTTTTTTTTTTTCGATTTTCTATAATTATTATCTCTTAAAATGGACCATTGAATATTGAGATCATTTTTATGTTGATTATATGTAAATTAATATTAAAATCGATTTCCAATTATTTCTGTAATTAAAAAAAACATTGAAAATTTCTATAATTATTATTAGAATAGACCATTTATGTAAAAAGTTATAGAATAAAAACATTCTTTTTGTTGCATAAAATTGTTAAAAAACAATATATATGTAGAATGCTATAAAAACAAAAGTACAATGATATTTAAAGTTACTTTTCAGTATTATTTTTTTAATTTTGGCATATATGTTTAATCTTTTGCAGCATAGTTTGCATGGATGGCCTGCATAATGTACTTTTAAAGGGGCGTTGGGGACTGTGTTGAAAAACTACATTACAAAACTAAATAGTAGGTGAGTTGAATTATTTCGAGAGACTGCTTTTGGGATCTCTCATTGGTATGCCCACCCCGAATGGTAACTCGATGCTCTGCCATTTGATGATGTTGCATGAGGTTCGTGATGTAGAGGTAGCCAGGGCTGGGAAGTTTCGGTTCGAGTTACAAGGCAGGGTGGTTAAATATGGTGAAACGGAATTTTGTTTGATTAGCGGTTTGAGATTAGGACAGTATGTTGATATAATAAATACAAAAGTCAACACAAATTCAACATTAAGGAATCGGTTGCTCCCTAATGTGAGAGATGAAGAGTTACGGCTGAAAAATTTAGAAGACTACAATAAAGGGCCAGCATTCTCGATGTGTAGCGCTGAGGATGCGGTAATGGTTATGCAAATGATGTTTTTGTTAAGGGGTCTCATAGGACGAGACGGCAATACGTGCATTCCGCCGGCAATGTATATGCTAGCAGATAGTCAATATAATTGGAACATGTATTAAATTTTATTATTTATTATTTATTTATAAATACTTGATGATTTATATTAATTATAATGAGTACGACAGGTTTGCGTGGGGTATGTATTTGTGGAGGTATAATGAAACACAATTAAGATTCTGGTTTGGTAAAATCTATATGTATTTGCGAGATAATGAGAGTGTAGGTTACACGAAGATGATGAAGTATACAGTGACCGGTTTTCAGCTTCCGTTTAAGGTTAGTTTTAGGTGCAATTACTTATATTTTTTAAGTGCTTATAAGTTTGGACAAAGCATAATTTTTTGTCGTAATACTAGGTGTGGATTTTGGAGACATTTCCAGAAGCTTTGAGGTTTGTGCATCACACAGAAAATGAACTTCCAAGAATGAGGGCATGGAGAATAAAAACACAATTATCTGTCGAGCAATGTTTAAGTATATTAGACGTTCAGTGGTATAGTTATACATTCATTATATTAATTATATATAGTTATAATTACAACAATTTTATATACTTAAATTTAATTTTTTTAATTTACAGGAAAATAACATCCCACGTGTTTTTGAACCAACGCCTGTTGAGATCCATTTGTCATTCCTTGTGCGTTATATAAATTGGACTCTAGACAAAGTGCAGTCGCCACCGCAACCCCAGAGTCCTCCTAAGGAACGGTCTTCATCACCGCAACAACAGAGTCCTCCTAAGCAACGGCCTCCATTACCTCACCCGTCTCAATTTCAGGGAGCAAACTACACCTCAAGCTCTCATTTCTAGGGAGCAGATTACCCCTCAGCCTCTCATTTTAAGGAAACATACCACATACCTCCATAAGACAGAAAAATAGACAAATTATTGGGCGTTGTTACTCAATTGAAAACCACAATCGAGCACTTTGGGAAGAGAATGGATAATTGGGAAAAAGATAAACAATTTGGTGTTAACGATATGGAAAATGTGGATGCGGGGGAAACATTTTTTCGTGGTTTGGATCCCGAGTCAGGCCATACATATATGCAAACGCCACTACCTGTTGTTGTAGTTAAGGATAACACAGTTACACCGTTAAAAGGGCGGGTAAAAATGAAATCGAAATTTTGTAGGGAGCCTTACACACAGGTATAAAATTAAGTAATTTCTATTTATATAGTATATAATCGTTCCAAATTAATTCACATATTGATTTTGTAAGTTCCATCGATGGAACCATTGAAGAACAGAAAAGGGAAAAAAGCGCAGAAGTCCAATAATGTAGAAAAAAGACCATTACGATTAGACGATTATGCAGATATTGATGATGAATTTTGGAAATTGTGGGGAAAGAACATGTGAGTGGTATTTTTGGAGCATAGACTTTTAAGAGGTATTGAGATGAATTGGGAATTTTGGTCAAGTTTACTTGGTATTGGCTCTGGATGGTTGCTCTATGAGGTAACACACATCCCTTATCTTATATTACAAAAAGTGTTGGATAATTAATTGTACAAAATGAAAAAGAAAAAAATCTAACACACCGCATTTGGTTATCTGGACGTCCCTACTCAAGGAAATAAATCCGTCCACTGGTAGGTGGACGATTATTAATCATGAAGGCACGACTTTGGAACCTGGGAAACAACATTATTTGAGGCGTGTAGCAGTTGGGATGGTTGATGGACCACATTGGAAGGATATTGATCGGGTTAGTATATATATATATATATATATATATATATATATATATATATATATAAATTAAAATATGTATATATCTGATAACTTATCATTTTTTGAAGGTTTTAATTCCCATCAACATACCGCACCTGCATTGGTATTTGGCTGATTTGAGTCTCCTTACATGGAAAGTGAGCATATATGATTCAGCCAAATAGTGTGGTTTCTTTAAAAGATATGCGGGTGACGGTAGTTTCAAATCGTTGCGAGATAGTATATTAAGTGAACTAGACCACATATCATATTGGGCCCATTTTCCTGATAGACAGAAACCTACTAAGGTGGAATTCATTCAAGCTAAACATGTGTCGCAGCAGGAAAAGGTAGAAGAAGGAGAAAGAGGAGATTGTGGAGTTTTTTTGGAAAGGGAACTTCCTTAACGAGGGTTTTCGGGCCAGCTTTCGTGCACCGACTAATCCCCCGCTGCAAACATGAGGCTTTGCCTCATGCCCTGGAGTCACTGCAAGCGAACCTCCATGGCCACAAGAGCTGAGTAGTACCAGAATTTGAACATGGGTCAATAGGTTATCCACCATATCTTTTTGTATGCATGTTCATGGAAATGTTTACATCAGGTGTACCAGTGGAGACACGTCCGTCACCTAGAGATACGGTACTTAGTTACCGTAATAGGATGGAAAAAATTATTTGGAATAATAGACTGTGATTGTATTATGATTATTGTTTTAAGAATATTTTCTTATGTTTTGATTATGTTATTTGGAATAGTAGACTAGTATAGTGGAGTTCAATTTATAAATTAAGTTAAAGTACAAGATAATACATATAACAAAACTAACGTACAACAACACTAATCAACTTAAGGGAACTACAATAGATACTTATCTTTCTCCATTGATATAATATTACTTTATCTTCAAAACGATCTTTTTGCCGCCCAAGTTCTATCATTTATGCATCCTTCTCCACAAGCCAGTTTTCAGTCATTTTGATACTCTTCTTAGTCTTTTTTATCCATTCTTCATGCTCTTTGATTTTATTTTTATTAATCTGCATCCTTTCCTCAGCCTGTTTGCACTCTTCCGCAATGACGTCACGACGTTTAGTGAGAGCCCGAGATGACTGTGTATCTATTTCTTGTTGTTCTTCAACCCATTGTAATTCTTGCAAAGTATTATCAGACATATATTGCCCTCAGATGTTTGGTGACGGTGCAACAAAAGGGTCAATCGGATCACAATAGTAACAATCAACTTCATTGCAAGAGAAAATATAGAAGTTTAAGGATGAAGTTGTTGGATTAGTGTCTAAGCCCGTAACTATATTTGGTAAGTACTTGACCCAGTTGTGCATGGTCCTTTTGGGTTGCCTTCACCAAAGCAACTTGATAGGATGATTTATGAAGAGAGAGGTTATTACGGTTTACTAATATATTATATGAATAATATATCAAAAGAGAAATCATATTATTTAATTAATATTAGTCATGAATTAATTAAGAATTAATTTGGTGGCTAAAAGAGATTAATTAAATATAAGGGACTGGACTGTAATTAAAAGATAATTGAGTTTTGGGTTGAGAATCCTTATCGACTAAGGCATGGACGAAATTAAGATGAAGCCCATCTTGAATTCGTCCAAGGAGGCCCTATTCCAGAAGGTTCCTTGGACTGCTTAAGGCCTAAGCAGTCCATTAGGGTTTTGACTGAAACCATAGCAGCACAAGTATAAATATACCCCTAAGGTATCAGTTTTCGACCACTGGAAATCCTAGAAGAGTTCGTAGAAGAAATTGTGCCTCCTCTCCTCTCTGTAATATCATCCTCTTGCTTCTGGTGTTTGTAAGCTATTAGAGGAGTGACATTTGTGACTCTATGCTCCAAGAGAAGAAGATTAAATCCATTCTTGAAGAGGTAATCATCTAGATCTGATCTTATATGATAATTTCGAAATATGAATGCTAGATCTAGGGTTCATAAGCTTGGATGAATTGCATATACAATAGAGAAACCTAGGTCCAAGCTTTAGGGTTTGCATGAGCACATAGGATGTTCTTTTGTGTAAAAACAAAAGGTGGTATCAGAGCATTGATTGGTTTCTATTGTATTGATGCCTTGTATGTTCATCTTGCTGAAAATTGTTTTTTCTGCCCTCTGCCCGACCTGACTCGGTGAGTCACTTGCTAGACTCGCCGAGTCGGCCGAACTCGACGAGTCCAGTGAGTGACTTAGCGAGTCGGGGAGTCAGACAGAGGGAATATCGGGATTTCTTGCTGTTTTACTAAAGGATAAATGCCAAAACTGTTTTTGACTAATAAAATCCGAATTTTATTATTATTATGTGATTATCCTTACCAAAACAAAAGATAATTATCAATTAATTGAATAATAAATTCCTTATATGATAAAATTTGATTATTTGAATTATTTGATGAATTATCTTGTGAATAAAATGGTAGAGGTCAAATTTAGATAATCATTAAATTAAATGTTTAATTTGAATTATTTGCTATTTGATCCTATGTGTTTTGAAAAGTTCAAAACTTGCCCTCAAGTTTTGGAATTTAAATTTTTTAATTAAAAGTTTAATTTGAAATCATTAAATTCCAAACCCTAAAATTTTACAAGTTTAAAATTCACCCTATAGTATTATAATATTATAAGAATAATTATTATATATGTATAACTTAAATGCTAGTCCTACCGTTAGTAGGCCTTATTCACGAAGCCGATCTATAAGAGGGGTATAAGGTTATGGCCTATAAAATGGTCGTTTAATGGGTGTCCACTCTCACCCACCGCTTCCTTGATTGGTGGATGGTTGTTAGCCGAACGGGTAGGATAGGGCAAACCCTTTCCTCATTAAAAGTATAATGAATTATAAAGTAACTAAATGTTTTTACAAAATTCCCAATCTTACTTACTTTAGGCAAAAGTGAATTTGATGCAATTCCATGAAATTACACTTTTTACCCTTGCTAAGACGTTACTGGAGCGTGTGTGGTTAACTGGCATACTAATTGGGCTCTAAGCAAAGGTGGTAAAGGGTGACTCGATGTTTTTCATAGATCGACGGAGCGTGTGTGGCTAACCGGCATGTCGATTAGGTGACTGTAATATTGGGGGAACCATGTATATTTTCATGGTTATCCACACCCTGTTTTGTGATTTTCGGCATCCCAATCACAAACGAGGGGCATATCGAGATTTATACATTCCTTTGAAAAGCTCAATGAATCTTAAAAGATCTAGGAGTTTTCGATACATTTAAAACTTAATTAACTTTTCGTTTTTTTGGTGGAAATTGGTAAATCGTCATTTGCCTACCTTCAAAAATTCTGCAACTAGATTACAGCATCCCACTTCTAGGTTGTAGAGTATTTGGTTGGATCCTAGCCTTGATATTTCATTTGGGTGTCATATAAAGGACCGTTATCAACTAACTTGAATTTTCTCCCGTTTTGTAGATGTCTTACCACTATGGTCTTCACAAATCTCTAGAAGATGATCTTTCGCGATTGGATCGTGGAAATGAGAATCATGTTTCACTTCCTCCACCTCCTCCAATTGTTCTCCTTGACCCCACAAGCTCAAAATCTTGAAAAGTTCAAGCTTACTCAATCCCTCTTGGCAAGTAAACACGAAAATGGAAAGTCTGTGTGTGCACACGTCTTATAGATGAAGTCACACATCGACAGGCTGGGAAGGTTGGGTGTTGTTGTCTCAAAGGAGCTGGCTATTGACTGGGTTCTTCAGTCGCTTCCTGACTCATATAGTGAGTTCGTAAGAGAGTACTATATGATGGACCATCATGTGACCCTCATTGAACTCATCTATTTGCTTATTGCTGCTGAATCAACAATGATTTGACGTATCGGACAAGCAAATTTGTCTGATGGGTCAATGTTCCAAGCTTCCATGGACACTGGCGACACTAGAAGTTCAGAAAAGTCTTCTCTTCCTGATGGAAAGAGATTGGCCATGGTCGAACCGTTTGACCGGATGGTAAAGAGAAAGGGTAAATCTGAAATTGCCCCATGCGCTATTCCAAAAAGGTCCATTTGCTTTTATTGCCAAAGGAAGGGGCATTGGTCACGAAGTTGTCCTGACTACCTGAGAGATCTAAGAAATGGGAGAGTCAAGACTTATGGCTCTGCTTCAGGTATAGAATCCACTATCCAACTCTATTAATTTCCTATTTTAGATTTTTAATACATGATGTGATAAGATGACATTTGATGTTTTTGTAGAATCGAAGAAAATAGAGGAAGCTTAAAGGAAGAAGTGAGTTGAATCTAATCGCGAAGAAATGGATTTCGATCGCATGATTCGATGATCGGAGTTTTGGAGCTACTACTTTTAGAGTTATGATAGATTGCTTTGGAATATGTAATAGCATAGTTTTCATTTGAATTACATTGTGAGGACAAGTTTTTCCGCACCTTTTATATATAAAATAAATTTTAGTTTTTTTGTCTTAGTTATATTTCCTTGTAATGGCATCTATGAAAATTGATGTTTGTGTATTTCTATTTTTAGCAATGTTGAAATAGATGTGATTCTTAGTTATGTTATTTGTGGTAATGTTGAGAATTTACCAAAATAAGGAAGGATTCTTGTCGCCCGAGTTTCAATTGGACAAAAACTTGGAATCATACAACTTATATTGTATGATGAATGAGAACCTTCATATTTAGAAAATTAAGACTAATTCCTTGACAAAAAGTCAAGTGAAGGACTAGGAGAAGTGGTACACAATGTTGTGCACTGGTCAAGTCCACCACAAAGAACAATAAATTATTCGCCATGATTTACTAAAGCTTAGTAAATATGGTTATACTTATAAGATTAAGTGTAATTCTGAGTTGTTGAAAGGGTTTCAATGAATAGCAGAACGAATAAGAAGAATCAATAAGGCAGAAAGATAAAAGTATCTCTAATCTGAAAAGATGGGAGAGTACTTTTCAATCTATGGATGGCATCGGGGCGGGTTTGGGATGAGTTTTGGTAATCCCGCCCCCGTCCCCGAATATGAAAATCGATCCCATCACCGACCCGATTCCCAACGGGTACCCGTTTACCAAGCATTATCGGGTATGCAGGTATCCCAACGGAGTAACGGGGATCCCCGTTTAAGATTCAAATTAAGAATAATTTTGATGCAATGAGAATACAAAACCATTAGACTTATTGATGCA